CCCGCCTCCGGGGGGAGGGAGAAGCAGGTTTGTCGCCCTCCGCAGCCTTCGCACCAGGTCCCCTTGTGGTGTCCCGCAGCCCCGCTCCCCGTCGCTTCTATCCGTCCCTTCCCGTCCTCCTGGACGCCCTTCTGGTGTCCCCCACATAAACACAGCCTGATCGGTGGATGCATCCCTATCCCCGAGCTGCAAAAATGTCTCTTTCTCCCAGCACCTTGCTTATCCTCCTGTGTCTCTTCTTGCGTGCTGCCTCGGTGGGTGGCTCATATGTTTTGTCCCCCTCTGCTTTGGCCTAGAGGAGTATCATAAGAAGAAGGCCGTGAATCACTTGAGAGCAAACCTGCAGTACATGTTGAGGGGACGATTTGTTGCAAGCAAAGCCATCACAGAACAAGTAAGACTGTCACTTCTGTTTGGGGTTCTGCTTCTGCTGACAAACACAGGTAGATGGGAATCATCCCCAGGTCTTCCAGCTTGGACCCTGCGCAAAGGAGTCAAATTAAGTTTCTGTCTGCAAGTGGCCTTGAGAAATTCCTGTGTGCACTGGCAAAATAACTTACTAAGCTTTAAACTCTTGTTGATATGTTGTTCCTTATGATATTCTCTGATGCAAGTTAAAATGTACTGACAACTTGTTGGCTTTTCTTAATTACCAAAGATATTTCATAGCTTCAGCTGGCAAAGGAGCCCTGGTTCAGATCTTCTTACTGTCGATTGAACTGGCCTTCTCTGTAGCTGGAGGCTGTTTAGCAAAGAACCAGATGTGCTGCCGGCTCATGGAATAGGAATTTTGTAGCATCTTGAATGATGCTTCTCATAACCTGAGAATTTAATCAATGATCTTCGCCAAAAGGGAGTCCCATGCCAGGATTTGAAGAGGAGAATAGCTGACACTGCTAGAATCTTGGGCTATTTTTATGAGATACAGGCTGTTAACTTACATAAACAAGCCAAGTGGTTGAGGCCAGTGTTTCCCAGGCTGGAGATTGTGAAAGGAGGTGACAATGTATTCGAAAATACTGAGGGAATTCCACCAACTTGTTGGGTTTTCAGGTTGTCTCATGGAGAGACAGGATAAAAGAAGGTCATAGTTTCACAAAGGTCTGAATTGAAATCAGTGTTTCTATCTCTGAGACGGTTACCAGAGAGTAGTTTTCATATTTGACTCCAAATACTAAGTTGGTATTTGCTGTCGTCCCAGTGACCTGCTTTGGTTAACATCAGTGATTGCCTCTTACTTTTTCTTTGGAGGCATTCCGGGTTATAGCAGGGTACCACTAGAATAGCAGGGGTGCTGCAGGTAAGCTTGAAAATCACCGTTTATAGTTTGGTCTGGATAACAATGATTTGTTTTTTCCTTTTTTATTGTCTGAAGGTTCTCTCTCAGAACAGAGGCAGAAAATCCAAAGATCAGCCTCCAAAGAAGGTGGCAAAGAAGAAGCCCGAGGGCACTGTCTTTACTGAGGAAGATTTCCGTAAATTTGAGAGAGAATACTTTGGGAGACCATAAGAAACGTGACAGGGATTCTTGCAGCTCCAGTCTTTCTGCAGCTGAGTGTTCAGCACACAAGACTGGCCGTTTCCTCGGCATGTTTGTTACGGGACATCGGAGATGTGCCTCTGCCAGCAAGTGCTTTTGTGTCACGCTTGCAGAGCAGCTTGGCATCTGTGCAGAACTTGTTACTGGCCAGCTAGAGCCACAGAGGTTCTCTTGGCTCTGAGATGTGTTCTCCTTGTAATTATCTCCCTCCAGACAACATGTCTTGCATTCTTACTGTAGAAGAGTGGATCAAGCCAAATATAAATCGTGTTCCCCTTCCTCAGGATGTAAGGCTTCTGCTACCTGTGTTATTTGGCAGGGAGCATTTAAAGCTGCTGTATCTGAATGGAGAAGTGTTTTGGACCAGCAGTAATAAATCATCGGAAGGGAAGGATGCTTTCAAAGACTCTTGAACCTCAGTAGCCCTGCGGTTTCTGTTCTTATTACAGCCTCAGTCAGGTTTTTCAGTCATTGCAAAAACTTTTTATATGTTGTTTGATTAAATAATTATTGCAGACACTGCCTCTTTTTGTCTTTGTAATGGTGATTATTATGACAGGCTATGACTGATGAAGACAAACCATGTCACTGTTCTGATCCAAGCATCTCTCTCTTTCAGATGACTCAGAATGGCCTCTCTGATTCATCTTGACACGTGTATTTAATCTTCTCTCCGACATGCTCAGGCCTTCAAAGAGTGCAGGCCGGAATAGAGATGACTCCTCTGTTTTGCCTACTCACAGTCTCTCCTCTCCAAGGAAGAGCTTTTAGACGGCAGAACGTTGTCCTTTGGGTGCTTCCACCTGAGCCTCCCACTGAGGTTCGGCCACGCTAGGAGGGCATCGCTGCTGGGCGCTGCCAGCTCCTTGTAGCCAGGAGGGGTTGTGACCCAGATGTTAGTTACAATCTTCTGAGCCAGAGCTTGTGCTGCTGGGTTGAAGGGAAGTTGGTTTTTATCAACTACTGCTAAAAGCCCGGCTGCAACGAATCGAAGGCCCAGCAGGTGGGAGTGTTATTCCAGCCACTTCTCACTAAATTGCTGTAAATGTGTTCCTGGGGAGCTCCTGCCACTGCCCTTTCCTATCTCTCACCTGAGCAGATGGGAAGTGTATTCCCTTTGGGAAAAAAAAAAGGTAAGGAGAAGGATTAATGCCAAGCTTTGGTTAGACTCAGGAGTTGATTACAAGGCGCTTCGCTGACCTGAGCAGCAGCTGCTTTGATGTCAGCACTGGTGGGAATTTGGTATCCCTTCCCTGCCCTCCGATTGTAATTCCTGGTGCCATCCTCTTAAGTCTGCGCCTCCTCTGTTGTGTTCCTTCCCTCTCGTCTGCAGGGGAGAGAAGGTCATCCAGATGTATGAGGTCCAGACAGGGGAAATAGTGAACACACTCAAGTGTGTGTACTGGCAGTTGTGTAATAGCACGTGGGAGGGGATTTCTTGTAATAGGATCAAGTTCAACTATCTGCAGCCAAAAGTGGTAAATACAGAAGAGTTCAAAGACCAATTCCCTTCTTTTTCAGTCTGTTCTTGCTCCTAAAATTAAAAAGCATGTAAAAAAAGAGAATGACTGCTTCTTAAAGGAATGGAAACACTACTGTTTGAAAAAGTAGTTGAGCAGAATGTGTATGCAGCACATGCCTCCCTGAAATCTCTGCGCTCTCTGCCTGCTGCAGTGTTATGGGAGCTGGTCTAACACATGCAGCTCTGCGTGGAGCTGTCATGGAGACAATTCACAGTGTGAAAAAGCTGGCTGTGCCACAGCTTGAATTTTGAAAGAGGTAGGTTTCTGAGGTGTTATTTTGTTTGAAGCCCTCATTTTCAGTATTTGGCAGTTCCTTTGACCTTACAGAGGTCCTTCAAGTCACCCCCTGCGCCTCCTCCACCGGTTCCTCCTATGCAGCCTTGTTTCTGTGGTTGTTCAGCTCCGGGGCCCTTCTACAGGCTGAGGAAAGCAAAACCATCCTTTGTTACTCCAGAAAGGAGCACTAGGGTAATGAAGTTCACTCTCTTTGTACAAAACCCAGCTTGTTTGCTTGCAAATGTAAGCAAACAGGAAAGCTGTTCTTTCAAGGTTAATGAGGAACTTTAAAGCAGGGCCCAGAGCAGTTTTCCCCAAGGATAACAACACCCAGATCTGTGGGGTTTTAAAGCTGGATGGCAGCTCGCTGCTAGCTGGAAAGACTATTAGGGCCAACACAAGTAATCACATACTTCTTGTGGCTGTGTGCCACGAGGTGTTACGTTGTTGAAGAGGGCAAAGCTACCTGACAGACTGGATTTTGCCAACTGAAATCAAACTTGGTTGTACAGCCAGCACTATCCTTAAATAAATTAAACTTTATTTTGTGGGAGGAAGGAAAAGCAAGCAGAAGTGAATGGATGGCTCTAGATAAACCATCTTCTGCAAGGGCAAAGATCTGACGTGTTCCAGCCTCGATTTCCCCTCTCTCTAGCAGAGCAGGAGCTCCTAGGAAAGAACGGCAGTGCCACCTGCACACTGGGCAGACAAGGACAGGATTTGGCCCCTGAGCAGAATGTCTTCAAGCTAGAGAGGAAAATAGGTGCCAGCCTGTTGGGTGTGCCTGGTGGTAAGCTAAAGCGAAGCATCTTCTCATACTCCCAGGCCTATGTTATGGCCTACTCATGCCTAGAGCGTGCCAGCTCCCCGGCTGCGCTGGGACCCCAGGAGGTAGCTATCTTAGAGCAACCTGTGCCATCGCTCCATTCCTTGCAGCCAGACTTTTCTGTCCCATATAAGAGAGAAGAGGGGGTTAGGGAAGGAGCATCTGCCATAGCTGCTTTTCCTAGTTGGCCTCCAACCTTCGGTTCCCACCCTGGAAGCTAACACGCCGCAGCCCGCAACCCTCGGACCTGCCGGATGGCGTTTCTCTCCCACGCAGCTGCGAGCGATGGTGCAGGGATGTGTCCCGCTGCTGCGGGGTGAGGGCCACGTGCTGGCTGAGCTCATCGGGCTCCTGGCTCTCTTCCCAGCTCTGCGACACTGGCTGAGCATCCTGCAGCAGAAAATAGAGGTAGCTGAGCTAGGGAAGAAGGAGGAGGGTGCCATCTTACAGTGCATCCCCACCCACACGCAGCGGGGAGTCAGAACGGGAGGCGGCAGCAGCAGCTTTAATATAAATGCAAATCAAAGCTCTGGAGTGTTATTAATGTGGTAGAACCTTTCCAGGGAAATGGTTTAGAGGAGGCAGAATAGTTCCCAGATGCTCAGTGTTGAGCTAGCTTATTGTGAATAAGATTCATCAAGCCCGTTAATGGCCTATTGCTCCCTCGTTACGTGAATGAAAAGCAAACAGGAAAATTTGTTCGTACGGGCACAAGCTAAGGTAAGCCTATAGAGCCTCTGCTGTACCAAAGTCCTCACGTCTTTAGTGTAGAAAGCAACAACAGCTGATCTCAGCGTTACTTGTGTATCGGGAGAGGGGAGGACTGCAAACGTAAACCAAGAAAACGCATTTGCTCAGGACACTAACCAACGTCTTGCCTCTGAAACGGCATAGCAGTAACAAACCTGGCTGCCAATGGACAAAGACAGACTGTGAAACTTGCTCAGGCAAACAAGACTTAAAAATGCTGAAAAAGCTGTGGGGGAAAACCAGGGGGAGGAGGGTCCCAAAAACCTTTGGGAATCTCAGCCTCTGGTTTCTTTTTCATGACTGACTTCCATTTCAGTCTTGCTGATGATCAACAGCATCAGCACCTGCAACACTGACGGGCTCCTGAATGCCATGGGAAAGGAACTGGTTATTGGAGAAAGGGTGCGCAGCAGCAGCGCCCTAAATAACTCACAAAAGGAAAGTTACAGCAAAAGGAAGTTTCTCATTTTGAGACAAGAAGACCCACCAATTCAACTAAAAATGAGTGTAAAAGGCGGCAGGCTGCCTAAGGCCTCCTTACAGCTCAAAATGTGGAACTCCAGCCAAGGCAGGCTGAAGGGTTAGTAGGTTTTAAATGGATTAAAGGTTTGTATGTCTATCCATAGTTACATTAAATAGGATTAATGGTGCCAACCGGTGGGGACAGGGGACATAAAAAGCATGAAGGTTGCTCTGCAGATGTCTACAGGGTTGCATGCACCTTTTTTCTGAAAGAATTAGCTGTTGGCAAGGCTAACCAGTAATCTAGCCAAGCTGGTCTGTCCTGAGCTGCACCGTTTGCATGCCAGCAAGAAGATTATTTATCTCCTCTAATGGGAGGCAAAGACTAGGTCTTTTTCTCCGACTGCCCGCACGTTGCAATGGAGATGCAGAGGCGATACAGAACTAGGCGATTCTCTGCCCTCTATAAATTAAGCTGACGCATCTGCTGCGTTTGGAACTCGCTCCCTGCCATTTCTTAAAAGGGTGTGTACGTGTGAAAGAGAGGAGAAGAGCAGCTGAAGGAGAAATGAGAGGCAGCTAGGCATTACTTAGAGAACATGCACCTATGTAATAGGGAAATAGGAGCTTGCAGGTAGAGCTGGCTTCAGTCAGTGGCTTGTGACATTGCGTGACTGCGCTGAAAATAATGCAAAGACAGCATACCTGGGATACCTGAGCAGCCAAAATAGTGTTGCCTAGGTCAGGGAACCAAACTCCTCTCATAATTCACAAGGCCCAACTTGTGGGCCTGAAGCATTTCAATAGGAAAGTCAGTAAAGATGAGGGTTTTTTTGGCCCAGCAAGGGATGCTCGTGGTAAGACCCCAAGGCTGCCTTTGCACTGGAAATGAAGTGTAACAGGAGTATAGGTGCTGGACTGCACGGCAAGGCGGTGAGTACAGCAGGAGGACAGAGGAAAGTAGGTTGTCTCCAGAAGATACTTGAACTGTATTAAGAAAAAAAATTAGTATACACAAGATGGAAATTATGCGTAGAGGAAGGACAATATAGATTCTGCTGTTTCTGAATGCCTAAGCCTAGCAAAAGATAAAGAAAATGTGTTATTCTGAGCAAAAATGTATAGATTTCCCA